ATCTGCTTGCGCGCGAGAAGCCATAGATATGGTAATGGATTGTGATAGACCACAAACAAAGGATCTGGATTTAAAGTTATTTTCAAGGAAATGACACATGGTCTGGAATGGGAAAACATTACGCCCAAGCTAAGGCCTAGAGCAAACGCCGAATTTCCATGCACCGAACTCATTAAAAACAAAGGATATCAGGTGATAATGAGGTGGCATTCTTTGATGTAATTAAGTTCGGTGCATGGAAAGTTCGACGTTTGCCCTAGGCCTAAAAGGATGTATTAAAGATTCGATTCACTTACGTTGGTGACAAACTTGGTGATAGCGTTGGAGGGGTCCATGACGGTGTCGTCTGTTCACTAGCGGGAGGAGGTACTTTAGAGGAACCTTTCTCTCCTCCAAGGTTATCTACTGTGSTCAACAACTGTTCATAAGTGTAWGTCGAYAGCTCAAGCTTCAGWGGAGTTAATATCCTWGCATCCACACATATAGTGGGCTTATTCTTTGGAGCRTCTTGCAKCATGTCTTGAAGCTCAGATCTTCTTTCTACACTCRCTTGTAGGCCTGTCTGGTGTAGAATATGTGTGCCTGATTTAGGTACCTTAGATGGGCTRCCACCAAGGAATGACTCCGTCAATGTCTGTCCATGGGACAACTTATTTAGTTCATCAGTGGACAAAGTCAATGAGTAGAGACTCATATCCTGGATTTCAACCTGGACAAGATCAATGTCATATTCAACTGCACCAGATTCGTCCGCGTCTTCGATTATTTCAACCATGTGAGTATTCCTGATTGTTATTTCGCCCAAGTTCGCAACAAGAACATCRGGACTGGACGAAGATCGAGGAAAATGGACCACAGGAGCATTTATTTCTACAGATATGTAGACACGTTGGTTGGGTTTGTTAGTCCTATCGTCTTCAAAGTCTTGTCCTTCTAAGAKWAGTTCATTCGCAATACCTTCATCACTAAGGAAGCTGTGTCTGCGYGACCCATGGGTGTCTGGGTCACGGCTCGGCGCAATAAAAGACGACGACAAGTAATCTAGTTCATCAACAAGAGCCTTTCTTTTACTTACAAGTCCCATAGCAACACTRCTAGCAGCCTGGCGAAGACTCTCCCCAACYTCTTTGGCCGAATCTGCAAAGTCTCCTGCACAGAGCATTAACTCTGATAAAAACCTATGTGTGTGCGTATATTGCACCGTTGCCATGCTTATACTAACTTGAACATTTCGAGCAATTTCGGCAATTTCCTTYTCACTCGACGGTAAACGGTTCAAAATAACAGTAGAACACTTTTGACTTGCTGTWGGACGGAGAAGWGAAAACTTAAAAGCACGCGAATCCGCAGGTGATTCGTCGTTATCGTCAGGTAGTCTTGTTAAAAAATAAGGGTTCTCGGACGGTAGTTCTGTTTCCATGGTTACCCCACAAGTAAGGACACAACGATGGAGGGAGCCTTCGGGAGTAAGGTCCATTATTCGTAGACCCCCTAGAGACCCTGATATTGATTGTCCCTCAATAAACGAGGCAGTGATCTGGACCTCACTGACGGTGACTTCTGCTACTTTTCTGACAGTTTTGATGTTGTTGATTTTAGTGTTTCTGATCAGTAGGACATTCATGGAGCGAAACGTAGCATTGACTTCTAGGGATGGTTGCGCTTCTTTCTCCTGTTAGTAAATCAAAAATAACTACAATACAAGCATTGGAAGTCAATCAACTATCTAGGTTGTGTTTCCACGGTACCGGACAAAATTTGGAACATGCAGAATGGAGATCGAATTTTTGAGTTGCACGGCTTAAAAAATCCACTGATACCGTGAAAACGTCTAGTCCAGATAACTTTTCTTACGGTAAGCCGAATATATATTGATCCGGTTCCATGTAAACAGAACGTATTTCTTATACAATTAAAGAAACGGTTCCGTGTGATTGATATGTAATGGTCAAGTTTACCTTGTAAACGCAGCCTTAGTTTTAAAAAAATATTCAAYTTTTTGAAGGACTTTTGCGATGCGGATTTCAAATTCTAGGAGTCTCCAAGAGGTTAAAGAGTTGCATGAACTCTGTTATCAAAATCGTTCATCACTATCATCATCATCATTTTGTTTGCCGGAAATTAAAATTGAAAGTTAATATAGATCATAAGATATGTCTCATACCTGTCCATAATTATTTCCATCTAATGCTGGCGACGGTTCTTCAGGAACCGAGTCCAGACGAGCAGGTGAACCATCTTCTTCACTTGGAAAAGCAGAACTAAAGAACTGCATTAGTATTGCGAGAGTATCTTGGTTAGCTACGAGAAAAAAGAAAAAAACATTAAAAAACCTATTCATTACAATAGTAAAGAAACCAGAGAAAACCTTCGAACCACGGAAGGGGAGTCAGGTCAGCCACGTTCAGGAGTCGAACCTGAGACCCTAGAGRCGAGAGGTGAGTGCACTTCCATTACACCACCCTTGATTCACTAATGTATGTGATGTTGAGTCCAGGAATCAAACCTGAGACCCTAGAAGTGATAGGCGAGTGCACTACCACTACATCACCCTTGGTTTACTAATGTATGTGATGTTGAGTCCAGGAATCTAACCTGAGACACCAGAGGTGAGAGGTGAGTACACCACCATTGGTT